AACCAGTACTACAGTACTACCAGTACTACAGTACTACAGTACTACAGTACAACCAGTACTACAGTACAACCAGTACTACAGTACTACAGTACTACCGTACTACAGTACTACCAGTACTACAGTACAACCAGTACTACAGTACAACCAGTACTACAGTACTACAGTACTACAGTACTACAGTACTACAGTACTACCACTACTACAGTACTACCAGTACTACAGTACTACAGTACTACCGTACTACAGTACTACCAGTACTACAGTACAACCAGTACTACAGTACTACCAGTACTATAGTACTACAGTACTACCAGTACTACAGTACTAAGGGCGTAAATCCCATCTCATTATTGGGCGGGGCCACAAAAAGGGACATTTTTTAAGAGCAATTTTGGGAGGTTGGCAAAGTTACAGTAAAATGTGGTTTAAATTTTGTGTGTGTTCAAGCTGCAGTAAGTAGCAATAAATAACCAAAGTGTTTTTCTCAGTAAACAACCTGCTGAGACCCGTAGAGTCAAACTAGGATTCAAACGTTTAGATCCGAGTTTGGTTCATCTAATCTCTGCTACACTTTTACAAAAACTTAAGGCTCTAAATAAAAAGTTTTGATAAGTAACTCCACTCATAAATACTGATTTATTGCAGTGGTTCTCAATACAAATTACATGTTATTTAAATTATAATTTAAGATGCTTGAAACTTTTATTTTTTTGATGGGTTTTTTCGTGTTAAAACATTTATATGTAGAAACTGAATATCTAGTAAGTATCATAACTTAAACTTAAAGGTCAGAACCAGAGTTGTCTAGAAAAATATTCAGATTTTATTTTGTGGTTTTAAAGGCTCTACGCTGAAGATGGTAAGAAATAAAGACGTAATTTATTTTGTTTTACTGCCAGCTGCAGTCGCCCCTCTGCTCTCGGCTCCCATACTGAGCTGTTGGCTAATGCTAACGCTCAGCTGCTCCCGTTTCAAACTCTGCTTATTAAAGTAAGAGTTGCAGAGCTAAATGTAACTGAAATATTGTCTACCTTCTACCGACGAAGGAGCTGAGTCTATGAAAGCAATGGAGCAGCTTAGCTAGTTTTGATTTCCAAGGCATAAGGAGGCAGTTTATCATCATTCAGCCAAAGTAATGAAATAAACTGTTTATTGTTAATGTGCTTCTTCCTATCAGCAGTGAAAGTAAATAAAACGTGTAACATGTCTTTTGCTTTAGTATTTACTTACTGGAGGGTTTTTTTTAGTTAGTGCTGTAGAGCCACAGCTAACAGCTAACAGCTAGCTCCTCACTTAGCGGCTCTAGCGGAGCCTGTTCTATCAGACAGCCACACGCTGTCAGGACAGCATACATGCAGTGAGTACCATGCCCGCGTATGCATACTAAGTTGCTTATTTAATGTTGCTGATTAAATAAAATCATATGGTAATGACAGCGTATGCATGTCTGAGCAAAGCGTACGACTATCTGACAGCGTATGCTGATGTGACAGAACGCTGTGGAGGGGACCTAAAAATGAATTCTTATTTTTTTCTTAGATGAACGGCCGCCTTCCTTGGTTCTTTGTTCTGTTGCCTTTTTTATATTGACATTGTTTAAATAAAAGGGTTTCTAGACATTTCCAAGATTGGGGAGGTCTGGATTCCCCCCCCTCCGGGATTTACGCCTATGAGTACTACTACAGTACTACTACCAGTAGTAATAGTACTGGAGACTAGAAGCTGGTTCTGGTTCTGGTCCAGGTACATACCCTGCGGCGCAGTCAGCGGTCGGCCCTGCACCTCACACCAGCCCACCGGATGGATGTAGGGACTGCTGCTGTCACACCTGGAGGACAGAGAGGACAGGTCAGCAGCGCCCCCTGCTGGCAGCAATGGAACTACCACAAACTGGACACCTGAAGAGACGCCTGTCCTCGTCCACTGGTCGAGTCTTTGCTGTGACTGGTTTTCTAGTCCAATCAGTGACCAAACTGATGAACCGGTTGAGTTGGTCAGGTAGTTTGAAATGTTCAGAGTAATTTAATAAAGAGATGCTACAAGCTAGCAAAGGCTAGCAGGATGTGGACGAGGCTTGGAGTGTGGCCTGCAGCGCAGTCAGAGCCAGCCCCCCCCTCAGAGAGCCTAACATCCTGAGCTCGATTCCTGTTCCTCCATGGCTTCCCCTTCTCTCTGCCACTTCCTGCCCGACCTCTGTAGAGTAAATCAGGCAGGCTAAAATGGCTACTGGACTGATGTCTGGATGTTTTTCATCCATCCACCTGATACCTGTTGAAGCGTCTAACCTGGCAGCTGCCTGACTGCATCTGGAAACGTAGTTCCATCTTCACTCTGAGGATCTATTCCTGGTTCAGCTGACTGAGGCTGAGTTTGGTTTGCGATGCAAAGACGAGGAACTGGAGCGGTCCGATGTTACCGTGTCGACCGTAAGAACCGGCTGCGGTTCTGGGGAAGCTCAGACTGGACCTCCTGCAACTTTCAGCCACAGAAGATCAGAAGGACAACGGCTTCGTTCACCTGAACTTTACAGAACCCAGAGTCTCTGGCTGCCCGCCCCCCTCCCCCCAGTCTGTCCCCAGTGTGTCCCCAGTCTCACCAGTAGTCATAGGTGTCGTCCCAGTTGTCGAAGTGAACCAGGAAGCGGTCGTTGATGACATCAGCGACAGACGCCACACACACCAGTCCCGGGTTCTTCTTGTCCACCGCCTCTAGCTTCATCCCCACCTGGAACTCACACACCTGAGGGACAGACAGGTGGACAGACGGTTAGGGGACGGCAGAGACAGGAAGACACAGTCAGACAGGTGTGGACTCACAGTGGAGCGACAGGTGAACAGGGTGGGCGGAGCTGCGAGGGAACCTGAGGACTGCAGGTAGTCCTGCCAATCGAACTCCGTCTCACTGTGACCTGCAGACACAGAGACAGGTGGACAGGTGGAGCAGGACTCAGCTGTCTGGCTGCATGTTCTCACCCTGTGGGTGTGGAGTTGTTCTCACCTTTGGGTGGGTGGAGCTTGTGGCGGTGCTCTCTGCACCATCCGGCGGGTCTGATGTCAGGTGAGTCGGCGTTTACCCAGAAGTCATAGCACTCTGAGTATCCGTCGATGTGGAGACGCAGCCGGCAGCCAATCACCTGAGAGAGAGACACAAGGCTCAGGTGGCCACTCCCACTCAGGTGCGGTGGGGCGGGACTGAGCAGTTACCTCGGCGACGGTCAGCACACAGAACATGGAGGGATGCAGCGGGTCGATGCCCTCCAGCTTCATGCCCACCTTGAAGGCCGTCCTCCTGCTGGGACAGGACTGGTCCTAAGGGACAGACAGGAGTCCATCAGGACAGGTGAGGCTCACCTGACTGAGGGCAGAGCTGGGCTCACCTGGGTGAAGAGAGAGGGCGGAGCTGCCTCGGCCTTCTGCTCGTTCAGGTACTGCTGCCAGGACCAGGAGCGCCTCTTCACGCTGACTGTGGAGCAGAGCAGAGTGTCACACCTGGACTCACCTGAGCCAATCACAGCACCAGGAGGAGGAAGACGGTACCTTGAGTGCTGCTGACTTTATTCTTCATCTCCTCTTTGTCTTCCTCTGTTGTTCCCTCTCCTCCTCTTCTCTCTGACATCAGAACGACATCACAGCTTCAGGTCAAAGGTCAAAAAACATCTGCCCCTGACAGGTGTGAGTGACCGTCCCTGTTGTCATGGTGATACCGAACCAGTACTGGTCCAAACTGCTCCAGTCTGTACTCAATCGGAAGTCATTCAATAACACTCAGACCGAAAGTCTGCACACAACTTCAGAGTAAAGGTTTGATGCACCAGAACCAAAATAGAGACCCAAACGGGTCCAGTCCGGTTCCGACACTCAAAGCTTTCAGAACCGCCACAGAACGAGACCAGCTCAGACAGCTGATGAGAACCGGACCAGTCTGAGTAAAAGCTCCGACACGAGCGGCTCTTATTCTGAAGGCAGACCGGAAGCGCTTCGAGTCCGTCGGAGCTGCGATTTGACAGAGGAAACGGATCAGGTGGAGATCCGCGGCTCGGAGGCCGGCAGCGAGGCCTCTGGGGCCGGGCCGGGCCGCCGGCTCCATCCGGCTCGAGGAGCCGCGGCGGCGGACAAACGGAGCTCAGAGGAGCCGGTACCGGAACCGGGTTGTGGAGCGAAACTTACCGACTGTGATGATCCGCGTCACTGCGCTGACACACAGAACAACACGGAAACTGGAGGCTGGGAGGGCAGCGCGCATGCGCAGGAAGGAGAGGGGGCGGGAGGAGAGAAAGAGACAGAGAGAGAGAGAGAGAGAGAGAGAGAGAGAGAGCAGAATCAGAACCGGGGCGGTTCTGTCTCAGCCCAACAGGAACATCAATCAGCAGGTTCTGACCTGATCCAATAACTGCTTGTGGTTCTGATGGATCCCACTGGTACCAGAACCAAGGAGTTCTGGTTTCTGATGACCCAGGATTCAGAACCAGAACCCTTCAGGTCCTTATGGACCGGAACCAGGGCAGGACTTGATGTTCTGCTGGCGCCGACCCAGTACCTGGTGTTGATCCGGACTCGGACTGCAGCAGTTCTTCTGGGTTCTGGTCCGAGGAATCGTGGACTCGGTTCTGGGAGAACTCTACCAGGATCGGTCCAGAACCGCTGACCTCTGACCTGTGGACCGGCAGTATCTCTGGTTTTGCTGGTGTCTTCCTGTCCAGAACCAGAACTGTTCCAGTCTCTCTGGAACCCTGCAGAACCTGGTAGGAACTGAACTGAAGAACATTGTTCTGATCCAAACTGGTTCTGCAGAGCAGAATGGTTCTGATGCAGCAGCTGGATTTAAACCCGGTTCGGATCCTCTGAGATTCTTCATGAGCAAACTATTTCTAAAACGCTGAGCTGTGCCTCAGCCGGTCCAGCTGTCCGGCCCGGTCCGATCCCTGGTCCAGCTGTCGGACCCGCCCAGTCTGAGCTGGGAGCTCCTCCTGCTCTTCCTCTCCCTCCTCCTCCTCAGACCCGATGAGCAGCCGGACCGAGCGGAGGTGAGTTCTGCCCGTCCCGTTTCTGTGTCCTGCTGATGATCCAGTAGTTCTGCATCGTTTCTCTGTGGTTCTGTTGGGCCTGGATTGGACCTGCTCCTGGTTTTAGTAAGACGGACTTATAAATCAGGACCAGAACCAGCCCGGTGGTTCAGGCGTGACTTGGTGGTTTTTGGTTCTGGTTCCAATCCTTTTAATTGGACCTAAGCTTTGACCCAGCAGAAATATAACCGGTTCGGTCAAGATTCTCATGGTTCTGGATACGTCAGAGGTGGAACAGAAATCCTGAACATCTCTGAACTGTCTGAAGAGGAGGAGAACCTATTGGACTTCTGGTTCTGACCCACCTGGTCAGAACCAGCAGAACAACCAAAGGTTTCCCAGTTTCTGAATGTCTCTTTGGACCTATCAGAACCACTCAGGAAGTCCAGAGTGGGCCGGTCAACACCTGCTGGTTCTGTTTTCAGAACCACTTCGGCACTGCTCTTTGTGGTTCCAGTAAAGTTCTAGAAACACTTTGAGCTGTTCTCCAGACAGATTGAGCGACTCTACGGAGACTACAGTTGTTCTGCTGAGACTTTGTGTGTTCATGCAGAATTTTTGTGGCGATCCTAGAATGATTTTGAGATTCTTTAGGGCGGTTCTAGAGAAAGTATTTTAGGAAGTTCTAGAGTTTCTTAGAGATGTCAGATGGTTCTAGAAACACTGAGTTGTTCTTGAGACGCTTGGTGCTTCTCCAGACATTCTAGGCAAAAGTCTTATGGACTTCTTAGCCTTTTGACTTGTACGGTGGTTTAGCAATCCTTTAGGCCAGTTCTAGAGAAAGTCCCCTGAGAACTTTAGATGGTTGTAGAGTCCAAATGTTGCTCTGGAGACCCTCTAACATGTTCCAGAGGGAACCCTTTGTGTTGTTACTCGAGAACTTTCAGGTGGTTCTAGACTTGCTTTGAATGGTTCTTGAGGGTTTTTGGTGCTTCTTCAGACAGTTTAAGTATCTGTAAGAACTCCTAGAGGTTGTTCTAGAGGACGTTTTTGGGCAGCTGGTGAGCTTTTATGGTAACATTTTGTGGTAGAAAGGCCGTCTTACAAGATCCTCTACGGCAGTTCAGAAAGTACTTTTAAGTAGTTCTAGGAAATCTTGACGTTATTCTGGAGATCCTCCAAGATGTTCTTGAGGGTTTCTCGGTAGTTAGTCTCTTATGTTGGTCTTAGAGAGCTTTCAGGTGCTTCTAGAAACACTTTCAGCTGTTTGGGCATCTCTAAGGAGTCTTTAGGAGTTCTTACTGTCCAGATACTTACAGATCCTTAAGGGAGTTCTGGAGAAAGAACCCCAAGCAAGCCTTTAGGTAGTTCTAGAGTTTGATCTTGTTCTGGAGACCCTCTAAGACAGGGATGTCAAGCTCCGTGTCTCAGGGGCCACTGTCCTGCAACCTGTAGATGTTCCACTGTCCAAAACACCTGAATCATTTGAATTATCTTCTCAGTACAGTCAGGTTCTCCAGAGTCCTGCGAATGACTTCCTTATCTGATCCAGCTGTGTGAGATCAGAGACGTATCTGAGGAGGCAGGACAGGCCTGGACACACTTGTGCTCCAAGACGTTCTAGATAATTTCTTGGAACCTTTAGTGTTGGTACTAGAGAACTTTCAGGTTGTTCTAGAGATAATGATGTAGTTCTAGGAAATCTTACCAAGCAGAAATGAGTCTAAATGGGGTTTGGGTTCTGAAAATGGTCTTGTCACTGAAACGCTGCTGGATTCCAACCTCAGCATGACGTTCTGGTTCTGCACCAGGCCCATGGACCGGTCCAGACCGGTTCAGATCTGAAGAAGTTTCTCGCGGAGATGCAGTCAGCTGATTTAACGTGTGTCTGCTGAACCATAACCAGGTTCGCTTACTATCTGAGGACCTGAGTGAAAACACTTATCTCTGATTGACCAACAGCGTCCATTTCCTCCTAATGGACACAACAGGCTGAGACTCTCATTCTCTCCTCCCCGAGGAACCAAAACCATTAGCCTCAGGTTCTCGCCACAGACACACACACACATAGGAACACACAAAGGAACACACTCATTGATGGCTGGAAGAAACTGACTTCCTGTCAAATGCCTCATGAATATTTAAGGAAAGTTTAACTCTGGGCCTGCAGAAGCCGCAAACTCTGAACACAGATCTGCAGCCACAGCCTGGAAACCAGACCTCACACCTCCAGGTTCAGATCTCTGGTCCTACAACGGGACTCCACACCTCACACCTTCAGCCAATCAGAGTTGAGCCTGCCTCAGTGGGCGGGGCACATGCTGGAGGAAGATGAGGAACCATTCTTCCTCATCTTCCTTCCTCCTGTAGATGTTCATTGAGAAGACTCTCTTCCACCTTCACAGGATGTTGTCACCTCATTCTGCTACCTCCCCTCCCACCTCCTCAAGCTCCCCTAGCACAGTGACCTCTGACTCCAGATATGTTGCCATGGAGACCTACTGGAGAGAGGTACAGAGCATTGAAGAGGAGCAGGAGGGGGAAGAAGAGGAAGAGGTAGAAGAGGAGAGGAAGAGCATGGATGGTGAGCAGTATTAACCCACAGTGAGACGTTGTGTCTGCATGTGTCCTTCATGTTTTTTCCTCCTGCAGAGGTGGAGCTGGAGGAGGCATGGCTGACGGAGGCGGGGCTTTCCTCCCTGGTCGTGGGCTCTTCACAAACAGAGACGCCACCTGTGGTGGAGGCAGTGCTGTCCACGTTGACACGGCAACAAGCTGCTACGGTGAGGAAGAGGCTGGACAACTACAATGAGACGCTGAGGAAAAGGAACCGGCAGCCAATCAGAGACGTGCGTGACGTCTTCACCGAGGTGGGACATGAAGGACATCAGTCAGGTGTTCAATCAGCCTGAGAACCTGAAGGAGTTTTCTGTTCCAGCCCGAGACAGACTCTGCAGACCCAAGCCCGTTCCCGACCCAACAGCAACCAGAGCCGCCTCCACGGCGGTACCACACCACAACCAAGACCATCCGCCGCAGCACAAACAGAGGTACTGCCAGCCCACCTGACCAGGTCCTCATGGTCTTACTTCAGGAGCCACAAAGAAGATGGTGGTCAGTTCCAACATTTTATTACACCAACAAATTAAAGTCTTTAAGAGGTGACTCATTAAGTTTTATTTGTGTTTCAGTCTTTCTCCAACTTTGACCTTTAGCATCCAGATGTTTCCTGAAGTGGTTGTATTGGCACTTTTTGATGTGAATATTGATTTTTGACAGACCCAGAGATGTTTCAGGTGTCCAGGTCCTGAAGCTCCTTCTGCTGAAGACACTGAAAACGCCTCACTGGTTCTGTAGAGGTTCTAAAGACGTTTCGGTTTCTGAGGTGTTACTCAACCTGTAGGGAGGTTTCAGTGACTGACCTGCTGGTCGTGTCAGAATCTTTATTTACTGCTACCTAGTGAGAAACTGGTGTCCAACATGCAGAGTCCTCCACCCATTCTGCCTGCAGCTGATGCTGATGTGTAGCTGGATGTCGGTCAGCTCATTACCAGTTCATTTGGACCGGTGGCGTGTTGGTGACGGTCCAGTCTGGCTACATCCAACTGAAAAAGTCAGAACCAATACTATGAGAGTCTCTCCTCCCCCATGGTCCCAGCTGGTTCTGGTTCTGTCTCGGTATGAGGCTAAGTCTTGGTTACATCCTACCTGTAGATCCTATTAGACTGTTTAGGTTATTTGGACCTAAAGTGGTTGTTCTGGACCCTGACTAGCTGACGGTGACGGAGCCAGTTCTGGTTTTGGACTGTTCCAGACTGATCTAGGTGTTGCTGTGCTGTCTACAGGGCGGTCCACTCTTCCCATGTTTGTTTTCGAGGACCAGCTCCAGGAAGACCCGTCCTCCCCCGCGCCCACTCCCTCCCCCTCCTCAGCAGTGAGTCGGCTGAGATGTGCTGATTGGCTGCTGCGCGACACTCCGTACTCGGAGGGCGTGGCAGAGCACAAATGGGGCGGGACATGCAGGGATTGCATCCGTTTCCATGGAGATGAGAGCAGTGAGCTGCAGGTGAGTGTGCACGGTGTCCAGCATCAGGACCGACTGCTCAGGAATCCGCAGGCTGCCGATTGGTCTCTCTTGGTACGTCTGTGCAGTTTGCCCCCGCCTCTCCGTCACATGGTCTCACCTGTACAGACGACCTGTCATCACGCGACCTCACACGCCTCGGCTTCATCGCTCACATCGAACTCTCCACCTTCCTGCTGGCTCTGGGAGTCCAAAGCAAACGCAGCCGGCTGCCGCACCGCAGGACTCGGGGTGTGTTTCTTTTTGACAGTTTGAGGAATGTCTGTCTTCAGGAGACGTGACTCGGTCTTCTGTCTACCAGACAGCGGCGTGTTCGGCGTCTCGCTGAACTCTCTGCTGGACAACGACAGGAAGAGGTTTCCTGGAGTCAAAGTGCCCGTCTTCTTCCAGAAGGTGAAGAACCGTCAGTCTAACGCTCCCTTCTTTACATTCCAGTGTTATTTCAGGGTCAGATCCTGCAGTACAACAGCTGAACATTCCCAGCATGCATTGTGACAGTCTGTGGTTTGCAGCGAGAGGGAGTGTGTCCTCAGAGCAGCTGTCCGTCTCTCTGCCTCTCTAGTTGTTGGGCGTCTTGGAGCAAAGCGGTCTGCAGACTGAAGGAATCCTTCGAGTTCCAGGATCAGCTGCCAGACTGAAGGTACGACCTGTCGGTTTGTCTCTGCTTTGTCTCAAACCAGAACTTCAGTCGGTCTCTGTCCATCTGTCCCTCTGCAGTTCTTGAGAAGAGAGCTGGACCGGTGCTGGAGCGCCTTTGACTGGACCGACGTGCGGCCAGTGGATGCAGGCGGACTGCTGAAGCTCTTCATTAGAGAGCTGCCGACGCCGTTGCTGACACACACACACCTGTCCACCTTCTGCTCTGTTCTGGGTTCGTCCACACACACACACACACACACACACACACACACTGTGTTGGTCGACCCAACAGGTCCTCTCAGCTGACGTGTCCCTGCAGGCGTGTCCTCTGAGGTCCACCAGGTCCAGGCTCTGCAGCTCCTCCTCCTGCTCCTTCCTGAAGCTCACAGAAACACGCTGAGGGTAAACTCCACCCGTATCCTAGGTGTTTTTCTCTGCACCTTAAATTTCCGCATGCTGAATGGTGTTTCCATGTTTACAGGCCCTGCTGCTCTTCCTCCGGAAGGTGGTCTCTCATCAGGACCACAACCGGATGTCTCTGTGGAATGTCTCCATGGTGATGGCTCCCAACTTGTTCACTCGCCAAAACCATGGCAACAAACGCTCCATCACCAAGCATCAGGAGGAGATGGAGGAGGCGATGGGCGGAGCACGGCTGATCGGACTCATGATCCGGCACCAGGACCTGCTATGGACCGTGAGTCTCACGCGCTGTCCTCCATGACGTCAGCGTCCCACCCACTCTGACATCACTTCTGTCGTCTCCAGCAGCTCCCGAAGTTTCTCCTGGCCCAGGTGAGACAGATGAACCAGGCGTCCAGTCAGAGACAGTTCAACCTGAGCAGGACAACGTCCCGACTGCTGAGGAGGAAGAACGACAGGAAGCAGGTGAGTTCCTACCCAGATCCAGCTCAGGGAGCAGGTACTGCATCTGCTTTAGGCTGAATTCCCACCAGCCCAGTTCAGGTCGCTTCAATCCAGCTACTAGCCTGTCTGTCTAGTCAAAGTCCGGTTCAGTTGCTGAGGTATGAACGCTAATCAACCTCTGCTCCTCCAAACCTCGGTCTGGATTTGGTTTGAATATGAACGCCAAGTGGACTAGAGACCGCTAAAAAAAGCAGGAAGTGGACTACAGCGCAGGGCATTCTGGGTAAATACAACCAAACCTAACGTGCTAGCCTAGCGCTAGCTGCTGAAATGGCTCCTGGTCTTTAACCAAAGACTAAAGAGAAATCCTCCAATCTGACACCTTGTGTCGTTTCCTTCAGTGGTTCTTGGTGTTCCCCTCCTGTTCCCAGGAGAGGAACAGGTTGGTTTGACTCAGAGCAGAGAGAGAACCACAGCAGCTGGAGGTAGAGCAGATGTTTGGGTCCAATAGAACCATGTTCGATAACATGGGGTCTCCTTCCACTGCTGGCTGACCTTTAACCTCTCGTAATTCAACCGTTGTAGTTTACCTTGAAGCCATGGAGGTTTGGATGGCTCTGAAACACAGCAGAGATTCTTGCATTCAGGCCCGATGATAAACCTGAGCAGGGAAAAGCACCTCTTTATTTAAATGTGCTTCATAAACTAATTAGATTTATACAGAAAATATTAAAACATCATCTTCAATAATCTCCAGTTTCCTGTTCCTCCAGTCTGGAAACACAACCTGCTTCCTGCTGGTTTATTCTGGATTAGATTAACCCGACAGAATATCTGGCAACACCAGGAACATTCAGGGCCCAACAGTGACCCCTGGGGGACGCCGCAGGCACTGCGTTCAGGTCCGGCCTTGTGGAGAACCCGATTCATCAGCAGAACCGTATTCTGGGCTGGAGCAATGATGACATGGTCCAGAACCGCTTCATGCTCGAAGGTTCTTTTGGGTCAGAACCTTCCTGACAGGAAGCTGAGCTCCGTCCAGAACCGACTGACTCCGGGTTCTGCTGCTGGTTCTGCTTCCAGGTCAGCGAGCTGTCTGAAGGGGTCATCCGGGTTCACGCTCCGCTGCACACCAAGGTTTCCATGGCAATCCAGCTCGATGAACAGACGACCGCCAGAGACGTGACGACCCGTTTCCAGACTGAGTCCAGGTGAGGACGAGTCCGTCCAGGTGAGCACCGCCCACTCAGGTCACCTGACCACCGGTCTGTCTGTCTGTCTGTCCCCAGCCCCGCCCAACACCTGTACGAGGTCGGAGGAAACATCTGTAAGTATCCTGATGGCATCATCACTTTCAGCTGTCTGAGGAACACCTGGACACCTGTCTGTCCCCGTCTCCCTGTCAGATGAGCGCCGCCTGCAGCCGGACTGCTGCCTGCTGGACGTCTACAGGGTCAACCCTCGCTGTGATTGGCTGATCAAGCCCTGAGCTCACCTGTCTGTTACCTGCTCATGCTGTAATAAAAGCCTGAACCTGGCACTGTCTCCTGCTGGTCGCTGCCGGTACTGCAGGCTGCGGCACCTGCCAGACGCTGCCGAGGGCAGCAAACGTTCACACTGGGTTAGAAAAACATTTTATTTCATGATTTCATCCCATCATCTGTCTGATGACATCATCACACGAGTTCTGCACAACATGGCAGCTCTGCTCATTAAACTGAGCAGAACCGCTTCATAAAATCCACAGGGTCAGAGTTCTAGTGGGCTGAGGTCAGGGGTCACCTCAGGGCAGGGAGGTCAGGTCAGAGTGAGAGCCGTCCTCCAGGTGTTAGGAGCAGCTGATGTTCTCCAGGTGCTGCTCCTCTGCAGCCATGGCGGCGGCCTGCAGCGTCTCCGTGTCGCTCTGCAGCGGGTTCAGCTGCTTCCTCTCGCTGTGCATGTTGTTCTCATGGCGCTTCAGGTCCGACGCCTGGAACAGCAGAGAGACGCGGGTCAGAACCGGTCCGAACAGCGACAGCGGTGTTTAGGGAACGGCAGAAACTGGGTCAGGCTCCAGGTGGTCTCCATGGAAACCCTGCCAGGGGTATGAATACTTCTGGCCTCACCTGCAGATAAACTCTGCAGCGCTAATCTACTCAGCTGCTCTGTTAGCTTTCAGTTGAAATTCAACATCGCTGAAGTTTCTATCATTAACTGATTTTGAGACGTTTCTATTCATGCTCTTATTTTGAAGTTTACGCAGCACTTCCACTTCCTCTCATCATCACCATCTCCACCTGTAATGCAGCGCGGCAAATGACTGCTGTTGTTACTTAGGCTAAATTAGCAACAGAGTTAGCAAAAGTCAACAACTATAAAACTGAAACTAGTGAAACGTCTGAACCAAAGTCAAACTGTACAGGAAGGCGTGGAATGACAGACGGAGCCTGTGGAGGGCGCTATGCTAAGTTGTAGCAAATGTTGTGTTAATGACCCTCGGTGGGTATCTATATATTAGAAGTTTGCGCCTAGCTCCTACTAAATACTGTGTTGATATAGCAGAGATAACATTTCTGATTAGCTGTTTAGAATTAGCGGAGTTAATATTTCAGGTTAGCTCCTCAGGGTGGGGGGCCCAAAGTGGTCCAGGAGGCCCGGCATCCTGCATGTTTTACTTCTCTCCCTAGTGGTAGAAAGTCCAGAGAGCTCTGGAGGGGCAGAAGAAACAGAGCTGAAACCTCAACAGTGTGAAGCAGATCAGCATGGAAGAGTGGACCAGAACCACCCTAACCCGTCGGACCTCAAAGGTTCTGGGTTACAGTTTCCTATTGGACCAGATGCTGATTTTCTGCAATAAAATGGTTAAAAATGAATGATTGCAATCTTCCAGTGTGGTTTTCTGAATTATTTCTGGATCTGTCAGCTGAGGATGATCAAGGAGTTCTAGGTTCTTTAAAGGGAACCAGAACCATCAGCGCCAGGACAAAATCTAATATGAACACATGAATCCTGCTGGTTCTGCTCAAAATGAGATCAAAGCTTCATTCTTCTCTCCAGCTATCAGTAAGATCCTGATGGAGGTCAACCTGCTTTAACCTCCAGAACCAGAACCTTCACTGTGTTCAACTGGGTCTGGTACCTTGGCGAAGGCCTTGGTGCAGGACGGACAGACGAAAGGTTTCTCTCCTCGGTGTCTCCTCTCGTGGTCCTTCAGGTGAGACTTGTGTTTAAAGGCCTGCAGAGAGAGACGAGTCAGAGACAACTGACCTGCAGGTTCAATGTCTCCTGGTTCCTACTGCCCTCTACCGGTTCCTACTGCCCTCTACTGGTTCCTACTGCCCTCTACCGGTTCCTACTGCCCTCTACTGGTTCCTACTGCCCTCTACCGGTTTCTACTGCCCTCTACCGGTTTCTACTGCCCTCTACTGGTTTCTACTGCCCTCTACTGGTTTCTACTGCCCTCTACTGGTTTCTACTGCCCTCTACCGGTTCCTACTGCCCTCTACTGGTTTCTACTGCCCTCTACTGGTTTCTACTGCCCTCTACCGGTTCCTATTGACCTCTACTGGTTTCTACTGACCTCTACCGGTTCCTATTGCCCTCTACTGGTTCCTATTGACCTCTACTGGTTCCTACTGGTCCCTGCTGGTCTCTGCCGCCCCCTGCTGGTTCCTAATGGACCCCATCTCTCCTCCCAAGGAGTCCCTCAGGGTCTGTTTAGGCCCCCTGCTGTTTCTCCTCTAAATAAATCAATCTGGGATCTATTACTTCTGTCTGCAGACGGTTCTGCTTCATGCTTCAGAACGTCAAAACCAAACCAGAGCTTTCCCATGATTCAACTCTTCTGGATGGTGACACCATCATCATCATCAATCTCAGGTGAGCTCACTTTGTCACACATCTGGCAGGCGAAGGGCCTCTCGTTGCTGTGGACTCGCTCATGTTTCTTCAGGTCCGGAGCTCGAATGAACGACTTCCCACAAACGTCACACCTGTAGGGCTTGAAGCCCGTGTGGATCTTCAGGTGTTCTGGAGCAGACAGCAGGTGGGGGCGGAGTCAGACAGCCAGTTAGCGGCAGCGAGGAACCAGGTGTGCTGGTGTTACCTTTCAGGTGAGCGTGTGTGGTGAAGGCCTTGGAGCAGATCTCACAGGCGAACGGCCGCTCTGCCGAGTGCAGCTTCTCGTGTTTCCTGGGGAAAGAACAGGTGGGATCAGGCGAGTCCGGGCCGCGCCGCGCTCACCGGGCCGCGCCGTGTATACCAGGTGCCACCTTACCTGAGTCTGCTCTCGTCCAGGAAGGTCTTCCCACACACCTGGCAGGCCAGCTGCTCGCGGTGTCCGTACAGCAGGTACTCGAACTTCATGTCGGCGGCGGCGGCTGACCAGCCAGGCGCCGCCTCGTCCTTCACCTCACCTATGCTGTCTGTGAAGGTCAGAGTCTGGGTGGCGTGATGCTCCGCCCCCAGCTCCTTAGGCTCCGCTTCCATCTCCGTCACCACGTCCTGGTCGTAGCAGGACACCTGAAGGGAGACAACACAGGTTAACATGGACGGCTTCTGACAGGGAGGGGTTCAAGCAGAAACCAGTGGGGTGGGGCACCTTGTGAACATCCTCATTGGTCAGCTCCTTCAAGATGGCTTCCTGCACGTGCAGTGCAGCGTTGGGAGACTTGTCCAGCTCCTGATTGGTGGATGCCTCCACCAGGTCGTCTGTGCCTGGAGCGTCATCGTGCTCGCCCAGGTCCTGTGGAAGCAGCCAATCAGAACGGAGGACGGCAGCTCCCGGCTGCTGATTGGCTGCTGTCGACCTTACCTCAGAGTCTGCAGCCAACTGGGCTTCAGGGGGCAGCGCCATCTTTACGATGTCATACGGGAACTTCTCCTTGTCGTCTGATGATACGTCACGCTTCTGATGAAGCACATCATCATCATTCATCGATGTCCGACAGAACCACCTGAGTGTTTTCCACTTGGTGGGTCGGGCGTTACCTGGGAGCAGAGCTTGTCCAGGAAGCGGATGCCGAGGATCTGTCCTGATGACATCATCAGGTTGACATCCTTCTTCTTGACGGAGATCTTGGCCGTGTACATGTAGTTCAGGACCTCCTCAAAGATGTCGGAGCGGATGAAGTCGATCTCGATGACGGACGAGTTGTCCACCTGAGGACACAGGGTCAGGTGAGAACCGGAGCACGGACGATGGACGGAGTCAGAGTGCGGTACCTCGTGCTTCTTGAAGAGCTTCTTGAAGTAGTTGGAGCAGGCGGCCAGGACGCAGCGGTGAGCGCGGAACTTGACGTCTTCGACCACCACGGCGATGTCGCAGTGCTCGCCCTCCAGCCGCTGCTCGTTCAGCAGCTTCAGGAAGATGCTCTTGTGTTCATCGTCCACGTACTTCACCGTCTCCGTCATCTGACAACCAGGGGACAGTAGAGGTGGACTTTAAATAACTCTCATGTATCTGCCAAAGTCAGAGAACCGGGTTCTTTTCCTGGACCAGAACCACGTCTCCCAGGTCCAGACTCAACCCAGCACATGTTGCAGCTTCTTCATCACTGTGTCAGGTCCAGGAAAAGAACCGGGTTCTAAAGAGAGACGTGGTTCTGTCGGTCACTGATGATGGATGGAAGAAGATGAGGAAGAGGAAGCTTCATCCTCCTCTGCTGCCGATCAGGTTCTGATGGAACCATCTCCTCAGAGCGGCCCAGTTATTGGTTCTGACTGAATACCTGCAGGTGGAACATTTATCAGAACCAGAGGAAGGTTCCGGTTCTGATCCAGAATTTCTGGATGCTGACAGAAAGGGGAAATATGTTCAAAATCCCAGAGGTTGATCCGAGTCGGTCCAGTAGAACCAAAAATGATTCTGTTGATGAAGCAGAACCTGCCAGGTCGGTTCTTTAGAACCTTCTTTTCCCAGCCTGGAACATCATCAGAACCATCCTGACCCACCAGAACAGCCCAACCCGACTGTTGGATCTCTGACTGCTACAGTGTCAGTTCCTTTAAGAACCGGGTCAGAACCGTTCAGAACCTCTGTTTGGATCATGTCCTGTGCTGCGCCGTCTGCTTCCTTCTGTTCTCGCGCACTACCACTGGGGCGGGCACGCGCTCGGAGCGTGTGCGCGTCCCCTGCAGCGGCAGCAGACGGTCATCAGAACTTATGGGACCAGCTGAGTCCGAGTCTCATTCGGAATCGGGTTCTGATGTGGACCTGACCCGCTAACCAGCACCCAGGCCTTTTGTGTTTACATTGACCGAACCGGTCCGACTCCGGTACCAGAAATAAGGCAGGGTTCGGGATTGTCAGAACCGGATCGGACCCGATGAGGACTAGAGTGCAGGTCTGAGGTGGAACCGAACGCTCGAACTGTCTCTCGGAACCGGAGCAGGGCTCGGAGCTCGAACTGGTTAGCTTTATGTAGCTAACATGCTAATCACTCTGATCCGGCCCGGAACGAGCGGGGAATCCGGGCCTAAAGCCTGGCTCCGGACCAGCCGCTGGTTCCGGCTCGGTTCGGTTCAGCGTTGGCGTATCTGCCGTTCAAACAAGATGGCGGCTCCGTCTGCCGCTCCGCTCCGTGCCCGAGGCGCGCGCTCCGGTCCCCGGGCCTCGCGGGCTGCGGCCCCGACACGCAGGCACGCGAGCGGCGGGGCCGCGGCCTCGGAGCGGAGCTTCAGCGGCCGGGAGCGGCTCGAGAGCGCGCAGGCAGCCCGGTCCTGAAGCGGGAGAGAGCGCTGCGGCCGGAGCGAGCTCTTACCGTGGCCGAATGCTGTGGGTGTGTCCGCGGCCGCGTGCCGGGCCGTCCGGTCGGGAGGACGCCTGTTGTTGTTTATTGTTGTTGTTTGTGTTGCGGCGGCTGAGGACGAGCGCAGGAGGCCGCGCTTTGCGCCAGCACGCACACTCTGCGGAGGCACGCAGGGAGCGCGCCAAACTGCCCACAGCCTGACCCACACGGCGCATGCGCCGCGCTGCAGTTCTGAGTCCGAGCTGGACGACCTATACTTTATTTATCCCAAAGACAATCTATGTGTCGTCTAAACTCAGAGCGGAGTATTTTGAGTCGTTGTGGACGTGAAGCTGTGGGCAGGAAGGATCTCCAGTAGCAGTCTGTCCAGCATCTAAAGAGGCCTCTGACTGAAGGTTGCTGTATGACAGTCTCATGGTGTTCATGACAATATGGCTAAACATCCAGACAGTCAGACGATAGAAACCATGAGCTGCTGCTGCAGCTCTGCTAATCCACCTCATTTGCTTTTGCTGTTCCTCTCTCTGCTGGTTGTTCAGCTGATTAATAAAATGTTTTAAATAAAAACAGCTTCAGATCTTCCCATAAAAACAAAATACACACGTATGCATCTGTTTTTTAATGCACTACTAATACATATGTATATTTTAACATTTTTTAAATGATCCTGCTCAGTGTGCATTTTGATAACTGCAGTATTAAATGTTATCTTGTCTTTACTGTGCGTATTGGTCTTAATTTTGTTTTTAATATATTTTTATCTGTGAACCTACATGCCTCCATGTCAGTATATTTTCTATTTTTTCTAGAACATGTTGGAGTTCTTAGGGTTGTATTCAGATGAATACAAAGTGGAGTAAAACCTGAAACCACATTATGATCATTTATGATCCGTTAATTCGTCACCTATAGTTAAATTTATAGTTTTGCTCTGACGATTCTAGATCTATTACGACGGATTTTTCGTTCTCTCCATTTGGATCTAGATCCGATGTATAGATGCATCTCTTCTGCAGGTATCTCTAGTTATAAACTCGCCTGTCGTTTCAGTTCTCCGACATTAATATTTTGCTCAGATTACCAATGGAACTACAGCAACAGTGAAGAATTAAAACCTTGTAATCAGGTGTCGCATATCTTACAAACTGAATAACTTTTTATGCGATTCTGCAATAAATAATGCGGCGCTGACGTCACATATGTTGTTTGGCCACGCAGTGGAAGAAAAATGACTATTGGAGAGGTGCTGATTTTTGACTTTTTTCTGACGCTTTTTACTTGTTTTATAATCCAAACTGCTCCAATATGTTAAGTTGCAAAGGAGAAAAAGCGCTTGGATGTCACAGCTGTTTTACACTGGCTATCCCTCTCCAATATGGAGGCACAATGCCATTTAGCCTCCACATACTGGCTTTAACACGATTCCCAGTCGACATGAATTGTAATTTTATTAACTTGACTTTCTAACTCTGTATTCAAAACCAGTCTAACCTCACGGTCTGTCCACACAAATAAATCTCCTGGCGCCTAACAGGAAGTCGTAGATGTTTTGAATGATTGTGGTTTTGACAGGTTTTAGCTTTGCCTTACATCGCCCCCTATGGGTTCGGCATGTTTAAAACAACCCTCAGTAGTGTAATTCAGCGGGCTTTTGTGGCCGAATACTTTATTTTTATAAAAACGAATATCTCCGCGACATTGTTTTAAATGAGTTTTTCTCTCAGTTCTTAAGTTCCAGCTTTAATTTGATAATTCATTTCTGCTTATTGGCAAGTACATTTACAGATTAAATATGTAGGCCTCAGCTAGCTAGTTTTTAAACTAATTATTTAACTAGCTTAGAGCCAACTAAATACTTAGCAAGCTCAGTAATTATTTCGTAGCAAGCTGTATATTTAGGTATGACCTAGCAAACATATTTAGCTTACAAATTAAATATTGAGGTTGGAGCTAAATGTTTAGTTACTAAGGTATAGCTTCAAACTAAAGATTTATCTTTTTACCTAAATATGTTCTTAGCAAGCAAAATATTTAGCTTGCTAACTAAATAGTTTGAAACTGACAGGATAACATGTTTAAAATATGACTTTGAAGAATTCACCTCCATAATTTTCTCTTATGACAGACTAAATAGCCAAAGTTACTGCTTTTATTTTTGTCTGGGTAAATTTACAAACCGCCCCCATATTTACACTGTTTATCAGTTAGAGGAGCAGATGGGCCGACACACGGGAAACGGACCAATAATGACTAGTACCATTTGTTTTGATCGATGTGAACAGAGCAGCACCAGCATGTATGTCCTTCCATCTTTGAATTTTTGGAACTGATCCATTCTAATAAAGTGGGAGTCCAAGTGACGGTCCGACCCGCTCAGACAGAACCAGAATCTGAGGAACCTCCGACTGTTTGGTTCTAGATCAGAACCACAGAGAAACCGTGGCTCACATCGACTCCAGAACCTCTGCATCAGTCGGACCCATAATGCACTGCTTCGATTTTAGAGAAGAGCTTTTATTTTGAAAGAACCTCCTGGTTCTGAGTGCTGTTCTTCCAGAGCAAGCGAACCTTCTCACTGCAGCCTGATTTCATCAGGTCCAAAACTGAGCTGAGGTTCTGAGTTCTGCAGCTTTGGTTCAAGTTAAACCTAGAAAATGGTCCGGTTTGGTTCTTAATGGTGGCCTTTGTTGTCTGCAGAGAAATTATATTTATCATCACACTTCTAGTTTGTGTACTCTGTCTGGTCTTGTACTGACTGAGTAGAACAGGCCTTTCCGGACCTCAGATGCTGAGGAAGAACCGTCACCAATGCACTGATAAATCCTCTTTAATGCTAATAAACAAACTCAGCAAATCAACTTCCTGTTTGGATAAATGAGCTCTAAGTCCTGATTGGTTAAAAAATGACATCTGAAAACAGCCAATCAACAACAGGCTATAACTGAACTCAAAGTCTTAACATGGAAAAATATTTATATAAAATGGTTGCACTCTGTCAGCCTGAACACTACACTACCCATAATGCTCTGCATAACTCTGACCTTTCAAATCATAACCACTACATATTCTCTGAATTCCTCCTTTCTACTCTAAACATGAAGTCTGCATTGATGGTCTAACACAGACATAATATAAGAGTAGACCCCGCATTGGCCGCTCCGGCGCAGGAAATACGGCGGCCATC